AATGTAGTGATAGTCTCTGTTACATATTCGACCTAATAATAACGAACTCTAGCAGCAATGTTTACGGTAGTTGCGGTAGTGCATGATGTACACTCACACCACTACAGCAACAATGATAATCAATTCACTGACACATGGAAAGGAAAGAAAAAAAGCAAAAAAAGCGTGATGTATCGTATCACCTTAAACATTCAGTCTGTGCAACCTCTGGTTGAAGACGGTGTCAATTGTCTTGTCAACGCTGATGACAATTGCATGCAGATTTTGTGAATAAAGGAAATACAATCCGAAAGAGAAATCATAGAAAATTCTTATGATGAAACTTAAGGAGTATGCTGGTACGAATGAGAATAATTTAAATGGAATTCTGTCCAATGTTTGTATGGAGATTAATTTTGATAAAAAATTAAGACATTTAAACGGAATTATGCGCAATTTCTGCGAGACTTTCAAAACCATTTTGGCAAAGTACTTGAGTAATTAAGAAATACTGAGGAGACTTTCAAAACAATTCTAACAACTATTTAGAAAGCAGTTCAAAGGAAATTATCGGATGAGTCTGAGAAGAGCGTGACGGTCATTCTGAAGAGTGCACCAAGGAAATTATTAAGAATATTCTAAGAATTTCATAGAGAAAAATGGACACAAAATTGTGCCAATTCTTGGGAATTATAACCAATTTGAGGAAATTGTGGAATTGGAGAGTGTTTTATAAGATATTCCAAGAGGTAATGCTAAGAACTCTTAGAATGTTACTGGAAAAGTAAAATTATTCGTAATGGTCATGCGAATAGTGGAGTTACCAGTAGTTTATGTAAACTGTGTGTGAGTACCACGATGTTAGACTTTGATTCCCAGCAGGTGAATTTTGCTTCAAAATTAAATTGCCTACTGGTCTACTGGGTGTTGTGTGTTGTATGATGTCAAGAATTAAATTGTTAATCTGATCAACCTCAGGGTAATATAAGAATTATTTAGATCTAATAAAATCTTTAAATTCTGGTACTGCATCGAATAGTAAGGACTACATCGATTATTAGTTTAAAAAATCCATCCCATCAAATTTGCTTGATTCTTTGCTTCTCATTCCTTTTAAAAAAGTTATAGTTTAAAAAACAATTTTAAACATATTTTCTGCAGTATTTTACGCACATTTAACTCAATTTTTGAAATTCTGCGTAATGGATATTTAAACTCTTTGGGCATACTGTGTCAATACTTTTCAGCTTTTGGATGATTTAAGCAATGCTTACAAGTTATTTGCTTTATATAATTTATTTAAACATGTGATTCATATCCATTCTAGTACTTTAAATAAATTCCAGATGATCATACTGACCGATTTTTACGGGAGAATGACTCATTGATTTAATAGCATTATGTTAAAAACTGGATTTTTTTAAGCATTCCAGATTTTATATTTTAACTGGTCCAGATTTTTCTGAAAATGACCTGGCTACGCTGCACGGGAGCCTGCGCCGGAATGACAATCCATCAAATGGTCACAAAATTATGATAAACGGTCTTCTGCTGTAAATTCATGAATTTTGATACCCAGGGGTGCAGGGGTTTCTTCCCAAACACTTCTATGGACACTAGAGGGAACCTGCACCGGAATAGCCGTTCCGGGAACAAACCTTAAACTGGTCCTCAAGTAAGCTGAAATTGTGTCTTGAAGGAGATTCTGATACTTTGATATCTATTCCTTCGAAATTCGGATTTCCGGGAACCAGGCGATTCTGGATGGACATTATTGGCAAAGTCCAGAAAGAGGATAAGTTTCTGAATCCAATGGTGCCAAAAGATTTAGAATCGGTCAAAATTGGCCGCAGTAGCAAGCAGTTTAGTTTAGTGGGTACCCGGGTACCCTTGTCGAGCTTTAAAGGGTAAACAATTTCACGACCCCCCCCCCTTTCGAAGCCCCTTGCTGCAATTTGAAATCTTTCTTTATGAAAACTTGTCTCTCTACGAGTTCTAAAGGGTGTCCACGATGAAATTGCCACACACAAAATTGATTCGCAAAATTCGAGTTTTCATCCGATTGCCATCAAATTTTCAGGGATTGAGAAATAACTATTAAACTTCATTTTACCATTTTACTCGTATTTTATTTACAGTCCATACGCAAATGCCCGCACCTTGGCCTTAACCCCGGCCATAAGATTCTGCACAACCTGTGAATCAACCGTTTTTTGCATGTAAACCCATACTTTCTTCAGTTCCTCGACTGTCTTCACTACCTTAGGTCGTTTAAGAAGGTGCTGCTTCATAATCGCCCAGTACTTCTCGATGGGGCGGAGCTCCGGAGTGTTGGGAGGGTTGAACATTTTCGGCACGAAATTGACCTTATTGTCCGCATACCACTTCAGCACGTCCTTGGAGTAGTGGCATGAGGCCAAATCCGGCCAGAAGATTGTTGGGACGTTGTGGGCCTTCAGGAGAGGAAGCAGCCGCTTCTGGAGGCACTCTTTTATGTACACCTGTCCGTTCATCGTGTCCTGGGTCACGAAAGGTGCACTCCGCTTCCCGCACGTGCAGATGGCTTGCCAAACCAGGAATTTCTTCGCAAATTTGGACATCTTCTGAGTGCGGACATGCTCCGGAACGCTGAACTTATCCTTGGCCGTGAAAAACAGGTTGCCGGGGATCTGTTTGAAGTCGGCCTTCACATATGTTTCGTCGTCCATGATGCAGCATTCAACTTTCGTCAGCATGTTGAGGTACAACTTCCTGGCACGGGTTTTGGCGGACTTGTTGTGCTTCTCGTCGCGATTAGGGGCCTTTTGTACCTTGAACGTTCGAAGCCCAGCCTTAGTTTTGGCCTTCTGGACAAAACTTCGGCTTAGGTGCAGCTTCTTAGCCACATCCCTAACGGAGGCGTTCGGATTTCGGTTGAAGGCCCCAACTACGCGGTTGTGATTTTTGGTGTTGTACGGAATACTTTTTCCTTCACTTCTGGGCTTCCGATCGGTGGTCAACCGTTCCTCGAACCGCTTAATCACTCGCGACACCGTGGAATTTGCGATTCCCAACGTTTTAGCGATGGAACGATGCGAGAGATCCTTGTTCTCGTGATGAATGCGCAAGATTTTATCACGCACGAGCTGTTCTTTCGACTCCATTTCCGCGAGTTTTGATCACAGGACTTTAAAACTTGCAGGATGTAAATAATGCACTGTGAACTAAATCCACCCAAATTTTCATTAAATTCTACCCAACGGTTAAAAAGTTAGAGCAATTTCATAGTGTGGCAATTTCATCGTGGACACCCTTTAAGATGTCACTGAATTCTGGTTTCATGTCGTGAAAATAACTTTATAGTTTATTAACTTGAAATCTGAAAAGGTACCCGGGCACCCTGTCGATCACGTAACGGTTAAGCACCAACTTTGGCCCCCTTCCCCTTGTAGCGTATTTTTCTAAATGGCTCGTCACCCTAAAATTCTGCGTCATTTCAGCATCTTTCTGAAGTGCGTTGGGCTTATCTCAATTCCCATATATTTACTACGTGGGCTCAACCAAGCTAAAAATAGATGTTTTCATATATAAAGTGTCGACTGTTTATCAAGCAACGTGTTTAACACCGTTGTTAGAAAGTGAAACTTGCCTTTGTGTAAATGTCGTAATTTCAAACATATCTGTAAATTCGTCATCGATGCAACTGTCAATAGCCATGTTTACGCTTTGCTACAGAAATAATCATTACCTATTCTACTATCCTCATCCCTTTTCTTTAAACGAAAATAGCTTTGCATACCTACTTTATTCCCCGGACAGTTTCTTTCGGAAACCATAGAAGTTATAGTGGACCTATACCTAGTTTTTATACAGCGAGACATTGTTTTTAGCAACACAACTACTTCATCTATGTTTGCCAGAATCGAGACCGTGTCGTCATCGAGACCTTTTTCGACGTGTGCTTGAGTGCTAAAATGGCTTAACAACAGAATCAATGCAGCTTAAGTTAATCCTGTGGAAAAACTATTGAAGACTTCTTAAGAGCACAATAATAAAATAATTAGACAGAATTTAAATTTTGGTGTTTCCAAAAACGAATACCTTGGTCCAAAAATCGAAGCATAGCAAAATCGAGATCCACCTGTGTCATCAATTGCTTCGGTATTTGCTATACGATGGCGTCGGTTATGAACGGTACTGCAGGCACAATAAGGAAATAGTACTGCCCAACCCGTCGCATTTGTCGGATCAGTTGGCTGTCACCCACTCAGATCTACATTGTAATCAACCGGAGACAGGTGACCTTATCATCTACCGACCGTTTGCAGATCACCGTGACAGCATCTGCAAGTTGATACTCACATATATGTTGCCTGCGTTTATATAGCGGTTAAATACACTCCCGGAACTTGAAACCCTGCTGATGGGTATGACTCGTTACGGTGTTGTAGGTGTGTATTCCTACGTGTCACCTACGACAGAACCAGGAATTTCATACATCTGCAGGCGTGAAGTCGGACAAATAGAAACAACAAACTAACGGACAGGGATTATCAGCTTCTGTTTACGACCTGGCTCCGTCCGGCTCAGTTGAAAGTAGGAACAATTAACAAATGAAATGACGCGATTAGGTTCATTGTCTTTCCGGGCAACGCATGGAATAATTTCGAGTTGTTTTGATTACACCGGAGAGTTTTAGGAAAGATCCAATTGTGCGATCTACAGTATGTGCGTTTAATGTGTAGGTATAGTGAAATGTAAATATTTTGACAAGTACTGTGACATTTAGTAGTTAATTGATGATTTGTGTCTTGCCTTGTTATCTCTGGCGTGCTCTTCTGGATCAAGCGCTGCGTAGGCGCTCTTCATGCATAGTTATTTACGGCTACTCGTGTCAAGATTATTGTTTCTTTCGAGATAAAGTGCATCTGCCAGGTAGGTCGCTGTGTGCGGCGAATACCACCACCACTCAATCAGGATGTAGGACCGTTCTTCAGTAGTAGACGAACGGAGAGATACTATAAAAGCCTGGGAGACTATGAAAATTAACTTTCTTTTAAATTGAAATCGCGCTAGGCCGGTCAAGTGTCCCAAAACAAAGTTCCGAGTGTCTAGTGTGTCTGTGTGAGTCGTTGATAGTGTTTTACAGGAAGAAATAATTATCCTGGAGATGGTGAAACTTGGGACGTTTTGTGGAATCAAGAGTCGTCGAGTGAAGATCGCATTCGTGCTAAGAGTGTTGTTTGTATTGAGCTTAGGTTCAATTTCGGTTCTTAACTCATATTTCGGGCCTTCCGATGGCGAGAGCATAGCAGCATTGAAATCACGTCCTCGGCGACACCTGCTGCAAATTTTACAAGATCAGGTGGAATTACTTCAACCGACTGTTGTGGAACCGGAGGAATTCACCGAATTTCCTCCGGTAACTACTACGGAAACAACAGACCTCCCCGTGCGAAATTGTACTCCTGCGGCTATATTTGAATTTCCGTCCGATGGATTTACCCGTCATGATCGCAAACACGGCTGGATCACGGTACACCTGTTGATCGCGTGCTACTGCTTCTGGTTGCTGGCAATTGTCTGTGATGACTATTTCGTACCGGCCATTGAATCGATGTGTAAAAGTATAAACATTAGAAATTGATTTAATTGTGGGAAGGCAACGATTGATTGAACCGATACTTTTCAGAGCTTCAGGTAAAGGAAGACATTGCGGGGGCAACGTTTATGGCAGCGGCCTCATCGAGTCCGGAACTATTCATCAACTGCGTGGGAACATTTGTCACGAAAGGTGACATTGGGGTGGGAGCTGTGGTTGGATCGGCTGTCTTCAATATTTTGGCCGTACCAGCCGTTTGTGGACTCTTCGGTGGACAGGTGAGTCGATACAGAACTCTTTCTTTTTTTTTTATTGAATAACGTACGTGGACTATTTGCAATATTTTTTTTTATATGAATCTATTATTCTATGCTGATCTTTGAAGTGAAATGTAAATATTGCCCTGTGAGCTCCTGCTGTGATTCCCTGCTGGATTCAAATAATCTGCATGTTGTAGACTTATGTAGACCTACCTCAATTTTGTGTTATCGGCTTCTGATGACATCCTTCATGGAACTCATCATTCAACATTGAGTTGTGCGGCCACCGGTATGAATTATATTTCGCATATTTATTTATCAGCTGCTTTTGAGTGCTCTTCGCTGATATTGTGCATACGGATTTTCCGGTGTTCAACTTGGCCGACAATATAATGCTAATGAAAACTTTGTTTTGGTGCTGGAACCAATACAGAATGAGGCAGAGCTGCTGTCACAGATTCCACGCGTATGTTATTCTCAATGGATAAAATCTGAGCGATGTGATGTGACTTTTTTTTTTGATGTAGGACTACGTCTTTTGGGAAGGGTGCTACTTCAGGGAAATGCAACGAAAATTGGTCAGACTTTAAATGCTAATAACTTGGCCAATAATCAATGGATTTTGATGATTTGTGTGTCGATAGATTCACCAGTGTTATAAAATTTGTGTGGTAAGTCACACATTATGATTGGTAAATATTTAAATAGTTAACAATGAAGAAATAAGAAAATTTTCAAATTTCCCATACATTTTCTTCAACCGCAAGGTGCTCACCCCTAACACAGCCATCAGAAAGTTGATCCCTAACGACACAAGCCGAAGCCGCACAATCATTCAACGTTGCACGTTGGACGGTTCGACCTCGGACTTGTTCGCTGCAGCGTTGACATCGTAGCAATCCTAGCAGCTCAATACATACACCTCACACCAATTAAAAACAACCAAACGCAGACGCAAATCGCTCCAGGGAAATGGAAAACCTGCATTTAGCGTCGTGAGATCCGCCGCCATGGTCCTTGGGTTATCTTTGCCAAACACGTACCTAAAATTCCGTCGAACATCCAGCTCATCAGAGTAACTGTGATCCGTCGATATCAGAAGAATTTGAACATTGCAATCAGTAGCAATTGTAGGGTAAATAAACGGTCCTTTTCAAGGCCAGCAATAAATCTTTACATAAGAGCTCTAGTTTATTGTAAATAAAACTGAACCGTCCTTAAAAGTGCTCAATAGTGCGTATCGTTTTGATGCGTTCTGCAAGCAAGGAATAAGCTTCGTGCGCCAAAGATACCGATAAACGATTTTGACAGAATTTACACCTACGTGCTCCTGCCGGAATCCAATTTGTATTCATGTGAGCGCACGTCTGGTCTTGTGTGAATTCTCCTCAAAATCGCAGTTTTACAGCTCTCCTCGAGTTACCATGTCGTCACACCCAACGGTTCTTCGGGGGAATTTTTTTTGGGTTATCCCATAATATTCATGGCGTCTTGTTGGACTATAATGGTGATGTCCGTCGGTGATTGGCACTAGATTGCGGAACAGAGACCGACGTTAAATAAAGGAAAGAAGAAGAAGATGCATCAGAAAAATCATAATAACATGTTCACTACATCACTTTATAAATAAAATGTTTTGCGGTGAACTCGAATATGTTTCATGTTGACGGACAGCAATACTTGTATTCGTTTCTTCATACCGGGATAGTAAAATATTGGTTCGATTTGGCAGCTCGAAATTGGATCGATTTTGGGGTCTGTCTCCGCATCATCCAGGTTAAAATAAGTACAAGTTTAAGTATTTTTGTTTCAAAGCATATACAAATGTCAGCTTGACTTGATAGAAGGGTTTGGAATTTCATTCGTTTCCTTTTTCAAACATCTATATACATAGGTGAAAACAGAGGATGTTATAAAGTGCTTTAAGAAAATCACCGGTCGTGTTACATCTTCTAGAAGTTCGAGTGAATGAAACATTTATTTATAAACATTATCACCAATGCTTGGAAAATCCATCCTAAATCAGAGCTTAAACGTACCACGTACGTACGTGAAACGCTGTGATGAATTTTCTCGTCGAATGTGGCTGGTAGTTATGGTAAATAGGGAGCGATTTTAATTTGACTAAGCCAAGTTGAAGGTTATATATGTACTATATCTGTAAAATACTGATAACAAAAATTCATGCGAGCATTACATCTTTATAAACATTTGCTAAAGTGACAGTTAGTCCAGCTGACCCTGTAATCGTACCACATTTAGGTATCAAATAACAGCATACGTTGAAATGGATAACTCGCTATGACTAATCTCACTCATTCATGTATCACGAGCGTCCCTAGTGGTGCAAAGAGGCTCCTCTATTGTTTCTGCAACAGATGTAATTTTCAGAGGCAATAAAGCTTTGTTCAGACTAATCAGTTTCTCTGTCGTAGTTTGTCTGCCACATACTTGTCAATATTTGACAGATTTGCGAATTTGAGAAGTTTCTCGAAAAGGATAAACATGCTTTCAGAAGACCAGCTCGTTAGCTTATTATTTAAGAAGCCCGTTATGATTTTTTATATTGTGTATTTCATATCGAAAATAACGTCGCTTGAAAGTGGAACTTAATGAGGGCCTAAGTGCTTTTTCCTAGCTTTTAGTTTTCGGATTTGAAAGATCGCCGCTTGCAGTGGCTTGCTTACTGAACAGAAAAACGTGGTCCCAGGAATATTCATATTAAAGATATTCATGGTCAAATCACTTGTCTATCGTGTATTTTGCAATACTTTTCGTCATCGTCGGTGCTGGTTTTGAATGTTTACAACAACTCGAATAGCGGTATGATGTGATATCAAGGGTTTGGTGGCCTTAGAGCGACCGTGTTTGCTTACTGATCAGAACATCGTGAGTCTAATCTCAAACCCATCCACATTCAAGATTTGCCATTCGTTTTATCTGTTAATATGACTACATGGTAATAACAGCAACTCGATGATAAAGCGGAGCTTGTTTGCCTAGTGGCAAATGTTGTTGCTTTCTGAGCAGAAGACCGTGGGTTCAATCCCAAGCTCGTTAGTGTTATATGATCGTTAGGAAATGAATTCAGCTTATCGTTTACCAAAACTAACCCTGCTGCAAACTCAACCCTCTTACTCAAAATCCCAGTGATTCATCGTGGAAGTGCAGAGGTTTCTCTTCTTCCATCAATACGAGTGTCACGTTATCACATTCCTACCCATTCCTTCCTTGACCTGCGTTCGGGTGCGGCCGGCGCTTGTATTGCCTAGTTTGAGTTCAACAGTTTTTGCACATTGAGGATGATTGCTAGTCCCAAGCAGTCTATTGGTTTTCTTCGTGGGCGGTCAATCATGCTCATGCTCACATACACGGTAAAAACATCATGTTCATGTAAAGTGATTTGCTGTTGAATTTGCACTACTTGCCAAACATTGCAATTCGATGTGCAAATCCTTTGGAAGAGCTCATATCGAAGCACGATGAAATCAACAGCAAATTACTTCATTTTAGATTGTATTACACATCGTTGTTGATGTGCTGTGTTCTGAACTCGAAATGTCAACCATACTCATATTAACAATCTATAACTTTAAGTTTAACTATTTTATCCTTGGATTTCATGTTAGCTGAAAATGGGTATAAATAAATATATTGCCTGCCTTGATATGTGTTATCCAGAATATGGCCAAAGGACATGTATCATATTACTATGTGATCAGTATCATATATACCCAGATCACATGTTTCCAAGTGATATTGAACAATATTGCAAGGCTTGTATAGAAGCAAGACGAGACATGGAGCAATAAATTTGATAAGTTTGACAATGTTTTGTAATAGAAGTTCTATTATACACTATTATTGAATACAGCATCAATTTCATAATACTCATGCTATAGAATGCAAATTTTTTCGGGTTGAAATGAAGAATTATCGCTTCTCTCATTTGACTTCATTTGTTGTTGATTTGCCACCTTCGCGAGTAATGTTTGGCATGTGCGTTTTTGACATTTGCTTCCAAAAGCAAAACTAATCTAATTCAATGGATGAAAACAGTGGTGCCAATTCAAATGATAATCATTTTGATTTAAAGGTGTTGTACAGTACATAATTTTCAACGACAAATCACTTTGTCTCTAAAAGCAAATCACATGAAAATCGATGATAAATCACTTCGATTTGTAATGCCACATGACAGATTAAGTCATGTGCAAGAGCATTTGGATTAGATATGACAACTTTTTATCGTATACTTGTCAATATTTGACAGTTTAAAATTTGTCTGGCAACGTGATCACCTTTCTACAGTTCAGTGACTGCACACTACGAAAAAGTCATGTAAATTTCGGTTCCCTGAGACTGACACATGTAAGCGGCTCTTTTGACGTAAGGATCAGTTGAAAGAAACGAGAAAATAAATTCAATCATACGTTCTCTTCGTCGAGTTGCTTATGTTTCGGTTTGAGAACACTTAATTTTACATGAAATGTTTGTTTACGTTCCACGATTTACGCCCTATGTGGATTACGTCTCGTGTAAAAGTAGTTATTTCTAAGTGTGTGTCTTAGTCAAAAGAGACTGTCGATTTGTGCAGTCATTTTATTTGACTGTGAAGGGATTGCATTCCCGGGGACACAATTTTCGTTTCTCGGGATTCCCGAATTTTCCGGGTAATTTACATGTTTGTGTACAGATTTCTTTCAATTCAGTTGAACTTCATTTTCCCATTGAAATTAATTATTAGGTGTTACTTGTGATTGATGTTGACGATGACAGGAAAAATGCGCGTCAAAATAATATTTTAATGGATTTTTCAGAAGGTTGATCGACATGCTTCTTTTTTTTTGGTTGCTTTCTAGTCACTTAGACGTCGACTGTCAGCTCAAAGGCATATTAAACTCAACTTACTTGTGGTATGCTTTCAGACGAATGAAAATTTATTCACCAGCTCTGTTTAGAAGATATGTCAAATGTTGGCTGAAATCGAACTGATTTTATTCTTTGTCTATACTGGA